AGCGTCGACCATTTCTGGCCGGCAACTTTCAGCGTCATTAAGCCGCTGCGCCACCGCGTCATCACTAGTCTACATTTAATTAAGCTTTAATTTCTAGCTTGCATAGATCCTGACAAGCAAGCACTTTGAAGATGCTCCTGTATGTTACTATCTTTCCTACCAGCAGCACCTTGGAAGATATCATCATTTATCCCTGTATTTGGTTTTTATTGTATTTTTATTGAATTTTTATACTATTTTTATTGTATTTTGATTAATATTTATTTGTTGTTATTATTGGAAACTGCCAAGAGTCACTTCCTCATGAGTTGGGCAGTGACCAAATTTGAAACATAAATAAATACATTATGTCTCTAAAGACAAGGATTGTCAAAAACAGCATTTTCTTGGAGATGTAATAAGGACACTGCCTCTTTAAATCATATGTGTTTACAATGTTCCATACTTCCTCAGTTTTGGAAGAAAGCAGTTGCCTATATAAATATGATTGTGTGAGAAAAGCTAAAATTTTCTGAGGATTTATTTATTTATTTATTTATTTGTTGGATTTCTCCCCCACCCATCTCCCCCACAATAGGGGACTCTGGGTGGGTATAATATTGGATAATATTGTTTTGAACGATATACCTAGTACATGGAACATGACATGGGGACAACGTAAATGGATTCTCCGTGCCCTTACTGTGGCCGAAAGACTGATATTGCAGCATTGGAAAGATAAATGAATGACCCCATTTATTCAGTGGACTGAAGACCTGATTACATTTGCTACCAATGAGCAGATTCCCTATAGATGTAGGCTTTGTATGGACAAGCGTAATAAAATATGGGACTCATTTATAAATACAGAAGGCTCATTTGTAAATGTTTATTGTTGTAATGTATATTATTATAATGATATACTATGCCAAGTTTTTATTTCCACATGACCTACTTGTCTTGGCTCGTGCAGGACACCATGGTTTTTGTCAATCTCCATTCTGCACATTTTGATGAATCTCAGTGGAAGTTCCCAGACGAATTCAGCCCCTCCAACTTCCTGAATGAAAAGGGAGAGTTTGTGAAGCTGGAAGCCTTTTTGGCATTTTCAGCAGGTAAATTATTCCCTCCCTCCCTCCCTCCCTCCCTCATTCACACACACACACACACACACACACACACACACAGACTTTTACTGGCAATTTTTGCACCACACCCTGAACCCCAAACTACCCAACCTTTCTTTAGAGATTTAAGGAATTCAGATCTTGGGCATAGCTTGTAGTTCAGTGTCCATAGGAAAACGGGGTTGAAAAAAAACACATGTAAAAATGTTGAAAACGGTCAATCCAGAACAGCTGAAAAATGTTTCCTTGTGACCATGGAATTCACCCTGGGGATATTGTCACCTTTGTACAGTATGTGAAAGCATTGTAGGAGGTTTTCCGTGTGAATGTCTCCTTGGAAAACGTTGGGCATGATAAAGCAGAGGAAATGGTAAATTCCC